TGCTGGATGAGACAATTGGGGCATACCATAAGTCGAGCAAAGAGAGAAAGAAGCAAAAGAAAACTGAGGGAGAGGAACAACAGGCCAAGAAGAAGTACTCTGATACTCCTGTGAAGCAACACAAGAGGTAAGCCATTTAGTGACATCTGAAACGAACACATCTGTCACTTTAAGCACTCATCTCTTCTGGATAGCAGCAAGTGTAGTGAACATTTTTTCCACAGGAACAGGGTAATGTACAGGTTACTTTACATCTTGGAAAAACATTTAAAATGCTGCAGATCATAATCTGCAGTTAGTGCATCACTAGGGCCGCGCCATAGCTCAAGTGGTTAGTCACTGGCTTCCCACAGCGGTGGCCCGGGTTCAATCCTGGGTCTGGTCAAGTTGGATTTGTGGTGGACAAAGTGGCACTGGGGCAGGTTTTCTCCGAGTACTTCGGTTTCCCCTGCCAATTTTCATTCCACAAATTGCTCCACAATCACCCTCACCTATCATCTGGGGCTGGTACAATAGGCCAGAAGTGGCTGCAGTACAAGGGACTTCGTCCTACCCCAGTAGCAATAAAAAAGAAAAATAGTGCATCACTAACATGGTAATCTACATGCTGAAGAGTCTGTTCTGACATATTTGTTTAGTGATGTATGCCAGGAGCCTAGTGCTTCTATTTTGACTGATTTCTTCTGGCTCATAGTAATTGGACATTCTTAGCATGATGACTTCTCTCTGCATGTAAGAGACCAGTACTGAAAAAGTGTAATGTAATAAGGTGCACAATGACCCCTTTCAGTCATTTCTGTGCTATAAATGTTAAAAATGCCGTTAAATATGCTGTCAAGGATCTCTGTCCAGAGCCCACAAGCAAGTCATTAGTAGTGTTGCTGCAGATGTACAAGCTGCATCCTACTAACTTGGGTGGTTCACTTCTGCTGGCCTTTATGAATTTATTTTCTCTACCACATAGATGTGAAGAACTAAGAAAATCTCTTCCAAGTAACTCTTGTATGTATTTTAGGTAGTCCCTCCATTTGTCACAGGCTTCAATTAGGGCCTCTACGATGATATACTTTTGTGACTGGGGAACAAGATTGCGCATTGTGTGTGCCTTACAGAAAGAGGACAAATGGAAAATGGAGAAATAATCTCACCTCTAATAATGTTCTCACCTCACTGAACATAAAAATTGGTAAAGATGGAACAAATTTGCATTACAAATTTAATAAATGAGAAGGTCCTACTACCTGCGGTAATGTTGGTGTAAATTTGACAATCTCTAGAGAATTAAGTTCATAAAATGTTCTGTCAATATTTGTTGCAGGAAAGTGAGACAAGCGCCTGTTCAGACAGAAGAAGACACAGAAGAGACTGAGGTTAAGGAGACCCAGGACAGCAGAAAAGAATCGAAGAAAGGGGAAGCACAAACACAGAAATACAACAAGAAGGGAAAGACAAAGCAAGCAGGTGAAGAGCCATATGTTAGCAAGGAGAAAAGGAAACTAAAGGAACAGGAGAATAGGAAATTAAAGGAAAAGGAGAATCAGATATATGAGAACACTAAGCCAAATGACAGGAAGCAGAAGAAGGCTGTGGAAGAGGACACTGAGGTTGAAACTACAGAGAACAACAAAGCAGAAAGTGAAGATAAAGAGAGTGTGATATGTTCCCAAGAGAACCATCCAGAAAAGAAAGAACTTAATGTGCTGACAGCACCAAACAAGAAGAGCTCTTGTACAAATAAGTACACTGTGGAGAAGGAAATTCTAGAAGCAGAGCCAGCTATACTGACAAATGAAGATAAAAATGATGAGAATGTCCCTGCCAAGAAGTGCTATTACAAGTAATACATGGGTTGTTGTGTAAATAGTAACGTATTGTTGGTGAATAGTTTTAATGGACTCAAGTACATTGGGAAATCATTTGCACTTCAGATTTTCACTTGCTGTGATTATAATAGTGTGCATTGTTCAGTGTTTTCTGAAATAAAATAAGTTTGACAGTATTCATATTCTTGACATACAGTTACCACAGTCCTGTATAATTCTATCATTGACTCAACTAAATCAATAAGCAGTGTCTCTTACTCTCGAAATTAAGTACTGAAACCGTTTCTCCGTAAAATGTCTTCTTGCTAAGGTTTGACTTGATTCTCAGTACTTCCTGTAGTTCAAATTCTAGGTATTACTTCACAGTAACTACTCCTAGTGAACAGATCTGGATGAAATATTTTAGATCACACAGACTGACAGTGTTATGTAAACAGGTTGCTCATTTGAATTGGACCTAAAAGAGAGAAATTAATAGAAAACTTCGATAGAGTAGTTTCCTAATCTATACTGTTCACCAAATATTACCAGAATGATTAAATCATGGATGGTATGGGAAGAGAAATTTGAGAAGACCACTTTGAAGAGCTAAGCATAGATGGGAGTATAATATGGATTTTGAAGAAATACCGAATAAGGATGTGGACTGAATTCTTCTTGCTGAGGACAAGGCCCTGTTGTGGGCTCTTGTGAACACAGCAATGATCTTTGTGCTCCCTAAGAGAGGGAGAATTTGTTGATCAGCATTTCAAGGACTCTCCATGGAGGTAGATTATATTATTAAGTATGATAAGGAATGGCTGGACTGACTGCAATGTTTATGACACTGAACTTCATAACATAGAGCTGTATTTCTGCCTGGTAGTATATAACCCTCTGCAGAATCATTCCACTACTAACCTACACACCATGGGCTGCATCATTCAAAAGTGACATGTTCAGACAGCTGCATGTAGTGCTATATGTGACTTCTTTCAAAGAATGAACCTTCTTGAAGAGAAAAATATGAATGTGCCTTATGTTCTGTTTCAAACTCAAACTAGGAAATGTTGTTACAGTAACCTACAAGAAGTGAAAAGTGTTTCTGGAAAAGGAAATAATGAGCAAGAGTCAAATAATATAGTGGGTTCAAAATTCAAAAGTTCCATGACTTCTGCTGAAGACTGTAAATTAAAGCACTATTTTTGGACATTTGATGTAACTATGCATCAGGAATTTGTTCAACAGTGACAAACTGTGAATCAACATTTGTAGAAGTACTGAGGAGCATCTACAGGAAATAAGACTGGTTTCTCAAGTATGACAATGTTCCTGTCACTTATTTTTGTATGGGCACATGGGCACCACAAGAATCTCTTATCAGGTTGGGGAGGGGAAACCCACACCTTATACTTGTAAAGGGGGGGTTGCCACAGAATTTGCTTAACCCGTTGCCGNTCATTTATTTTCGACGACCAGCCTACAGTTGTGGATCTGCATGCTGAAACACAGATGACACTACAAACTGTGTTCAACATCCTGTGATGTTAGTATCTAGTATACTTCTATTTATTCACTTCATTCTTTCCAAAAGCACTGGGAAAGGGGGATGTTAATGGCCTGAATTTTATTTCCAGGAAGGGCAGACAGAAACTTTATTTATTACCATATCCAGGATGACTTGTTAAATCAATTATTCCATCCAGTACTTGCAGTTGGAGAATTAAGCTTACCACTCATTTCTATCCAGTTCTTTAATGGAAAAATGGGTGAGATTTACTTTCCCCGCATGCCTTCATATACTTCGCCATGGATAAAAAGAAGTTCTGAGAAGAACTATTCACCTACTTTCCTTTGACACAACATGGACCATGTAGAAAATGTCTCCAACAATTCTTTATTGCAGTAGGAATGTCTTTACTGATAGGGGATGCATAGACACACCCAAAGACATGGACTGCCTAGATAACAATGAGTCCAACAGTTCTTTTATTGTAGAGTGATTTGTTGCTGCTGGGATGTGTTTATCAAACTGCTGTCTAGCAGCAAATGGAGGGATACCCTAAACTGAACCATTGCCTTACAATAAGAAGGATACACATGTAAACACACAGACTGATAGGAGGGATTCATGAAGTATGCTGTTGAGATGGGTTCAGTTGCCATGTAAAGATTGGTTCACACACTCAAGGTTGATTGAGTGGAAATTATACACACAAACACACAGGATTTAAGAAAGAGGCTAAAAAAAGACAAGTTGTCATATGCCAAACTGAAGGTATTATGAGAGAAAAACATTATTTTTTTAAAAAATTAGGACAAGTCACAAGTTTACAACATCATCTGGTAACTGAAAAACCCACCATTGTTAAATTAAATAACAAATCAAACTGAATTGCGGAGCCCAGCCTGATTCTAATGGTAGAAGCTGGACTGCCTTGGAGTCTCACTATGTGATGTGTGATTCCCCATTAGCGTTCCATTTGCTTGTGGATGATACATTTTTAAATTTCTACTTTTATTATGCTTAGTATGCCTATGTAACCGATAAAAAATAAAATTGGGTATGATGTCCATTCACAACCTATGTGGAGGTTTCAAATTTACTACAAAAAGTTATCATAATAAAACTTGTATAATATGACATAAGAAATAATTGCAGTGTAATTTTTATTTCATTATGGTTATCATATTTAACAGCTGGGATAGTGTAGTCAGTATAGCAACTGGCTACTGGCTGGACAACTGAGGGGTTGGAGTTCAAGTCCTGGTAGGGTCAAGAATTTTCTCTTCTCCGTGTAGTCCAGACTGACTCTGGGGCCCACCTAGCCTCATCTATGCAATGGGTATCTGGGGACACAAGGGTGTGAAACTGACCACTCACCTCCAACTAGTGCCAAGGTCAAGAAGATGTTGATCTATACATTCACTCCCCCATATGCCTTCATGGCAAGTTAAGCATGGGGACAACTTTACCTTTTTTTAACATATTTAACTTGGATATGAATCAAGAACTTGATTCTGTAGTACAAATTTTGCATGTGTGTGTGTGTGATGTGGTATGACTGCAATGGAAAAAGGATCTAGAATGATTAAATTAAACCATTTTAGTTTACTTCTATGTAGTTACAAGTCCTGTCAGGTTATACGTGGATCTTCTGCTGCTAGACTAAGTGAGAGAAAAATGATCTGTCCTACCTGAGCTGTTGACGGGCATCTGTTCTGTCACAACTACGTAGTCACCTGTTGTGCAATTATAAGAGTATGGCATACTCAGTTCATCAAACCAAAGCACCAAATAGTGGTCTGGTGGTCCAATGAGTCGCCATGTACAGTCCAAATTATTGGGGTATTGCCCTGGGTAGGTTGGTAATGTAACATGGCCTCCATAACCTCTAATGGTGCCTCCACAAGTTGCTACAGGGAACAGGACATTTGAGATTTGTAAGCTAATGACATGTGCATTGTAACAGTCATATTAACAAGGATGAAATCTTGCTATATGAAGCCAAACAGTGTCATTATCCATATGGACGTGCAAAACTTAACAACAAAGAGAGAAAAACACTTCATCATATGAAGATTTCATCCATGCTAGAAAATCCTGAAGCACTTTCCTAAGCATTAACAAGGAATGATAAACTTCTGCACTGATATATATACATTTACACTATGTTGAACTGACCACTGAAATTAACACCAAAGCTTATGGAATATAATGTGAAACACTTTCTCTGTAATATGTACTATACATAAAATGTGAAATTTTTTTTATTGCTACTGGGGTGGGACTAAGTCCCTTGTACTGCAGCCACTTCTGGCCTATTGTACCAGCACCAAATGATAGGTGAGGGTGATTGCAGAGCAAATGGTGGAATGTAGATTGGCTGGGGAAACCGAAGTACTCAGAGAAAACCTGCCCCACCGCCACTTCGTCCACCACAGATCCCACTTGACAAGACCCAGGATCGAACCCGGGCTGCCGTGGTGGGACACAACTAGTTAGTTACTTAGTTAGTAATTGGGGAGGGTGGGTTTCCCCATGCACTTAGACCAGTATTGGTCCATTGTGCTTCCCTCTATGATATTCTACCAGTCTCTATACCCTACCGATACTGGTGTGTACCATCAGTCCAGACCAAGCAAGCGAGTTCGGTCTCTACTGGCTTAGTGGTATCTTTAATGCTTCCCCCATCTATCAGAGGCATCAGAGACTACTGTTGGGCAGGAAATGTCCTGAATTTTGCTCGGTGGTCTCCTTTGGAGACATGCGGTTCTTTTACGTGCCGTAAAGCTATGACACGGGACCCATGGATTAAAGTCCCTCCCGGAGGACTTGTTCCCTGAATTTTTCCGCCCTTAAAAATTCCACGACCTCCGCCGGGTTTGAACCCGCGTACCTTGAGTCACGAGGTGGGAACGTTACCCTTAGACTACAGAGGCCGCAACCAGCAACTAACCGCTTGAGCTATGGCACAGCCCCTATAAAATGTGTAAAAACCCTTATTGATGTCAGTTCATGCGACTGAAACACAACTCTCCCTCCAGCAGTTGTAACACAAGAAGGGCACAACCCCCTCAAGATAGGGTGGCACTTCAAGTTATTTAACACAGGATCTGAAATTTTTTGTCTTGACCAAGCATCTGTTCTACACCCATATGTAGTGGTGAGATAAAATATGTAACTTCGGTTACAGACCTTTTCTTTCTGAAAACAGAACAACTTTAATTACTGCATGAAAAATAAATGTATTCTTCAATGTTACTGTACTGATGGGACACAAAATTCAGAGTGATGAATCACTGTCACATACCTTTATGTCAGTTTTCTTTTGTTTTCACATCAAGGTGTTTAAATAGAGTCAGGTATGGTTATTTTTAAGAATTTGTTGGGTTTTTTTAGCTAACATGGTGGGGAGAATTCTAGCGCTGTAATCCCTCATATTGCCTTTTATTTTGTGCCCATTATCATGACTGTAATATAAATAAAGTTGGATCTTACCTATACCAACACTGGCTTTGAATCCATTCTTGGGTTCAGGGGCATTTGTGAAGAAACGGACATACAACATGTTGCCTGTTGTGTACTGAGAGCTTGGAATTCCTTTGCAAAATGTGTTGATAAGCTCTGAATTGACAGTTGCTCCATCACGCAGCTCCACAAATGCTAGCTGACAGCTATTAACACATAAGAAAACAGTGAAAGGTAGAGAGGCATGAATATTGTCACCAGAAGGTAAATCTGCATATAGCAGAGAGAGTCTGTTGCTTGCAGCAATCATGATTTGGAGGTAAAATGACATGTATTCTTAGATATCGTCAACAGTCAGAAATTCATGTCACACATTAGTGATATTAATTATTAACAGATGGAAGTTCATCAAATTAATATTTAAAATTTCAGTTTCAAAAAAAGATGAATCACGCGACATTTTAGTTATTGAAAGTCAGTTAATGGTTCAAAATATACTACTAACTCTACAGATAACAGCTCTCTCTGAAAAGTTGGCCAAGAAGTTGTCTGCCTTTTATGGAATCCATAAGTTCATTGCTATGTTCACAGGAACTTGGAAGTGGACCCGAAACCAGTACAAATCCTCATGCCCTATGCCGTTAAGAACAATTTTAATAAATTTAATTTGTTTCATTCTGGTCCATCACACAGGTTTACAATTAAGTTTCAGTCCAAAGTGACATATAATGGTTCCACCACTTTAGCAATTAGTTACCCAACATGTTTTGATTCATAATGAATCATCATCAGAGGTATGCCTCTACGATCAGGAATCCACTAATACATAAAAGTTTTTAAGAGTAGAAACACTTAAAACATTTACAATGCTCACTATACGTAGTTGTTGATTTCTGTCGTATAGACGTTGACGTAAATTTTTTTTTGTAATAACGTTTTTGACTTGTATTAGAGGTGGCGTAGTTGTAATCACTTCCCTAATGGATAATTCCATTACAAATGGGGTCTGACAAAATGATGATGAGACATGTATATGAAAAACCCTTCACAGTCAGATTTCCTGACGGGAGTGAATGGGAAAACGGGTTTTGGCCCGATAGAAAAGGGGGACTGATCTGGCATACAGATGGTTCCAAGATAAATAAGGGCACTGGATCTGGTGTGTACTGCTATGGCACGAGGCAGACACTTAGTTTCAGCCTTGGGCGGTACATGACAGTACTCCAGGCAGAAGTATATACCATTAAAGCATGTATTATGGAGAATTTAAATAGGAACTACAGAAATGGGAACATCTACATTCTATCTGACAGCCAGGCTGCACTTAAAACGCTTCACAAACACCAGATCAACTCAAAATTGGTCTGGGATTGCCACCAAACCCTCATGGAACTGGCCAAACATAACAGGGTACAAATGATATGGGTGCTGGGGCATGAGGGTATTGCTGGAAACGAAACAGCAGATCAATTGGCTAAGACTAGGGCTGAACATCCGTTCATAGGACCTGAACCAGCCTGTGGCATCTCTATATGAGTTGCCAGAAAGGCAATCAGGGACTGGACAAATATGAAGCACAAGAAATACTGGAGATCCTTGACTGGACTCAGGCAAGCAAAGGGACCCTCTTCTAAAAGAGCGAAGGAACTGTTGAAGTTAAACAGGAACCAGCTATGATGGGTGGTGGGACTACTTACAGGACACTGTCACCTTAAAGGACACCTCTTCAAACTGGGACTAAGTGATAGTCCCACATGTGAGAGGTGTCAAGAAGAAAATGAAACAGCCACACATATCCTGCGTGAATGTGAGGCCTTACCTTATCTAAGATTATGTCACTTGGGTCAATACTTCATGGAACCAAGGGACTATTTTGACACCCCCCACATACAAAATCCTGCGCTTCATTTGCTGAGGGGATAATCAAAAGGGGAATCACAATAGATCACTGTAGGTCAAGGTGCAAGGGCCGAGAAGGCTCACCCCTTATACACTCATTTATTCATTCATTCATAGAGAACATTACTGTGTGCACAAGAGCCTGACGCTGGTCCCTTACCTGAACTAGACAAATCCTGTTCATGCCCCTCCAACCCCGTTTCTTTATGCTCCATTTTATTATTTTCCTCCCATCCATGCCAAGTCTCCCAAGTAGTCATTTCCCTTCAGCTTTCCCAATAAAAAGTTGTAAATGAATTTCTGATCTCTCCTATGAATACCACATGCCCCACTAATCTCATCCTCCTTGATTTGATCCTTCAAATGATATTTGGTGAAGAGCAAAAAGTATGAAGTTCTTCATTATGCAGTCTTCTCCAGTCTCCTCTTGCTTCCTTCCTCTTAAATCTCTAACCATTCTCCTCAGCACTCTGTTCTCAAGTACCCTCAAACTATGTTCTTCCCTAATGTCAAAGACCAAAGACCCTTAACCCGTTGCCGTGGTTCGTCGTGTATGTTTCGTCAGGGATTTAAATCGTCTGGGGGGGTTCGACGTGTATGTTTCGTTCAGCTGCACACCTATGTTATAACGCCCATAATAATTGATGGTTTTGCTGTAGATTGTTNTGTAAAATTATAGTTTTATTTATTTTAACCTTTATATTTGTCAACCATGTTTTTAGCATGAAGAGAGAGGATAAGAGTATGAATTTCACTGCTAGCAGAATTATCAGTCACAGGACACATCATAAGTAACTCTGCAGAGACAAGGACAAACACTAGGTGACCAGTTATGTGATTGCTTAAAAGGCAATGAATCATGCGAAGCTACCTCACATGCAGGAATTCTCCCCCACTCCTACATTAGTTGCCTAGAATAAACGGAGGTTAGTTTCTGAATAGCCCTCGTAATTTAGGCCTCCACATAATTTTCACCCTATTACTTTTAGACAATACATTTTAGAAGTCAATTTAAACTCCACATTTTTACCCTTGATAAAATATTGACTGAGATAATTTTGCCCCACCCAACAACCCAACTGACTGAAGTTAAGGCAACATAGTACAAGGAAAGCTAATTCTACTTCCTGTGAATATTATGCTTTGACTGAAATATTATGAACAAGGATTTTCATCTCAATATTAATGAATGTATAACATAGTGGAGTCTGTAGGTATGAATATCCATACCTTGTTGCTATATCACATTCGATTTTCATTGCATTTTCAGCAGAAATTATGCACTGGTCAGAAGTTTATCATGGAGAATTCTCATCTCAGTGCTCATCAAGGAATCATGTAGATCCCACGTACAGTATGTGATTATACATATTGAACTTCAATAGCATTTTCAATAAAAATTAAGCATTGGTCAAACTTCTATCANAGCGCGCATGCTTGTAGGTATTGGGGGGAGTGGGGGAAGCAACGAATGCAACAGGGTTGCCAACAGCCGCATGAAAAATTACCGAGCGCTTTGGAGACCTTACTTTTGGAATCAACTATGTACCATGTTGCCAAATCACAGTCACAGTAACCACCTCAATCTAATGCATAAAAATATCCCGCAGAAACCAGTATTCACATTCACACTTTCAGACACGAGTTTTGCAGTAAGAAAAGTACACAATTAAATATCGTACATAGATGACCTTCATACTAGCTTTGAATTCACCTAGGAACACCTATAAACAGAACAGTAAAAGTATTACAATTCTGATATATCTCAGAGATACTCACTCTGGTGAAGAGGTTACATCAAACCGTTCCAAGAACTCCAAATGCAGCCTCTCACCCGCAGGAGCCATGAAGATCCACTCACACTCAGTATGTGGTGGTGGAACATTAGGGTATCGTGGTGACATGATCACAGTTGAGTCATATTCTGCAGAAAGCACTATGCGACCACCACAAGCCACTGACACTTCTCGGTAAACCAACTTGAATATCTGAAATGATACATCCTCTTAAGTGCTTCTACTTTGTCACTCAGGGAATTATTACCTATTACAGGCATAATTTAAAGCTGTGGGCCATTATTAGAGTCTTTCCCTGATCGTGCTGACTCAGACAGGGCTATATTTCCTCTTTCCTAGCCTGCTTCTGACTGGGCATCCTCCAGCTCTCTACATCCCAATCCCTCCCATCTTTACTGTATAACCTACCTATATCCTAGCTTCACTTATCTCTGTGAAGAAGAGGTGGCTGACTATGCCAATATGTTGATAACACCTATGAAAGTAGAGGTATGATACACTAGAAGATTGCAATCCAAACTATCACACATGGGTAAACAAAGTTGTGGGGAAAAAATGTGAAATGATATCCATTTATGGGAATGACTTTAACATTCGCGATTTTATATAAAGAATAACTATGATTTGTAGATACACATACTATAAGCATGCACACTGCCATTCTTAACTAAACTGTCATTTGATCCAAGGTTAAGTAATTCTCTGAAAGACAATCTTCACTTTATTTCCATTGGGACTTTGGTATCCACAAAACAGAATAAAATATATTCTGGTATCCTGATAGTTTATGTGAGTGAATTAGAACAGCCACGTGCTTCATTACGACCTATATGCAGATAATAATAATTAATATTTGTGAGATATGAGGTTCTCATGGTGGGACCTACGCAAAGTACTATCTTCTAGAATGTGACATCATGTAGTTTGGTAGATGTTTAGTAATGTTTTGGAAGAATATATTGCCTCCATCTTCAGAGTTAAAGAGAACATCCAGCAAGCATATAAGCAAGCAACAAGCACTCTCCTTGCTGCTACATGGCATCATGTCCCAGAAGATAGGACTATTCAGAATTACCTTTTGTTTATTATCATACTCAGAAAAGCTTTGTATGAACTTACTGCTGCTGCTGATAAACCTATGAATGTAACACTTAGTTCATTTGCTGATGTCTCAGGTATATCTCTTGGAAGTTGTGTGCCACAGTATCTCCCCTGTCCCAACATTGGAGAGTTGCGGGATCTTCCATTCCTTAGCTGTAACAACAATTTAAGTATACAGGTAAACCAAGCGGTAGAATGATAGTAGGCATATCTTGTATCATAACAGCAGATTATAGGGGCTGCAAAGTAAAGTATTCCTGTGGGAAGTGTTCCAGCTGTGGCAGAGGAAAACTTGCCCTTCCTTTACTCTCAGAACAAATGGGCATCACAGATCACACAGTTCTGTAGAAACAGTAATACATGTGGCTTTCAAAGTGTCACTTACCACAATGGAGTTCTCTGCACAATAAGATGTATTCCTTGATGGAACATTGAACACAGGGAACTCAACTGCTATAGTCCTGCCCACTCGCACAGTGATATTCCATTCACACTGCAGATGATGGTATGTGTAGAACCAATGGAGTGCTCGAGTCTCATTTTGCATGTCAATCACACCATTTGGTCCAGTAAGCAATCCACCACACACTGTTATGACAGACAGACATTTGCTGAATAGTTGTTGATCAACATTAAATGCTTTGACACAAAGGATTCATCATGGCAGACCCTAAAATATTACTCTAGTAAGACTGCTCCAATAATGTCACTACCTCAAGAGATAAAACAGTTTAACAGTATTGGTACGAGTTTGATGTTTCAGTGAGAAGTCTGGTTATACAGCGTGTCCACAAAGTCCCTTCAGGGTTTTGAAAAATTGTGGTGTGCCAACAAATTGAACTAGTCACATGCGATTTGCAGCAGATCATAGTGAAACTCTGGAAGATTTTTACTGACCTCAGTAGGGCTCCCTTGGTAGCACGGAGAATGTATATGTGGCTAGCTCAATTTTTTCTGCACCACAATTTTTCAAAACCCTGAAGGTACTTTGTGGACACACAAACATTTTATTATGTAACAACAGTTTAATAATGTTAGACAGTCATATTCTTCAGTTACAATGACAACATTAAATCTGAATTTCCAATATAATGACAGCCTTTTAATGGTTTATGGACCTGCATAAAAATACTTAGGGTGCTCCATATATAATGCCTCCTATTTTTTTGTGTTAATCTGTAACATCTGAGCTGGATGTTGGTGGTGTTGTAGTAAAGGTTGAACCTTCCTGCCAATGTACTGTTAGTTTGGTTGTCGTGCGACAGATAGCTACAGCAGTGCAGTCTACCAAAATAGCGTCTGACATAGAAGTGTGTATGAAACAGAGATGTTATTGAATTTCTCACTGCCGAACAAATTGCACCCATTGACATCCATTGATGCTTCCTAAAGGTGTACGGAGAAAGTATAGTGGATGTTAGCACAATGAGGTGGTGGGTAGTGCATTTCAACAGTAGTGGAAGTGAAGTGCATGACAAACCACACCCTGGGCATTCCTGCTCAGCTGCCACTCCTCACAATGAACAGCGTCTCAATCAGCTCATCCACACAGGCCTAATCATGACTAATCGTGAAAAGTTTTAATATTTAAAATGTATTATTATACATGACGAATATATATTTTAGTCACTTTAGTATGAAGACATCAGGGCATGCAATTCAGTAGTTAGACGTGCATAGAGACGCACCTGAAGATGGCACATTAGTGCTGAAACATGTAGTGTAAAGGAGAAGAGTAAGGTGAAAAAGTGTGTGCACTGTAAGACGGTTAGCATAAATCATGGACATGAATCAGTGCAACAGGACGCTAAAATATAACACGTGAGTCAGCTATTAGTACTGGAAATGCAGCATTTTTGCATATTTCATTATCAGAAACATGGATGGGGTAAATGTGACAAAGATAAGTACCACCACCTCATTCTCTTACATACCTCCAAGGGACAATGCAGGATATTCCACCCTCTTCCTACCAACAATTTTTCACCAATGAAAACAACAACTTTTAACACATGGCCTATGCAGTTTGTATTATAACAGAGGTGCTGCATATATTCACATGTTTGTGTTTCAGCAGTAAATGTAGTAAATGTTATCTTATGTTGTGTATACTGTATTTAAGGTGATAATAAATGTAATTTTTATAATAGTTTTTAAAAAAGCAGGCGTATTAACACTAAACTCAAATCATCATCATCATCATCAGTAATCTGTCAGACGACAGGTCCATAGTCACTTCGAAAACAATTCCTCCACTTAATGCGATCTAGAGCTTTCTCCTTCAAATGACAGTATCCTCTTCTGTCCCGAAGTTCATCCAGCATCTTATCCAGCATCTTCTTACGTCTTCTTCCTCGTCTTCTTGTCACTTCTATCCGCCCCTCTATCTTTCCTTCAATAACTTCTTTAAGAAGGCAGTTTCTGCGTAAAACATGACCAATCCAATTAGCCTTCCGTTTTCTTATTTCATGTAGGATATTCCTCTGCTCACTGACTCTAATCAACACTTCATTTCTCACATAATCAGTCCAACTGATCGTCTCCATCCTTCTCCAACACCACATTTCGAAACCTTCCAGATGTTTCTGATCTACTGCCCTAAGTGTCCATGTTTCAGCCCCATACAGAGCTATGCTCCAAATGTAGCATTTCACTAGTTTCTTCCTCAAATTTAAGTCCAATTTGCTGGTAAAAAGATTCTTCTTCTTGCTAAATGCAGCTTTTGCCATGGCAATCCTGGATTTAATTTCACAAGTACACCTTCCATCATCTGTTAACAAGCTACCCAAATATTTAAAACATTTCACATTCTCCACTTGTTTTTGGTCTATCTTTATTGTGACTGGGGTTGGTTGTCTCGAAATTTTCATTACTTTTGTTTTCTCCACATTCATTTCCATGCCATAGCACCTTCCAATTTCAATTAGTCTATCAATCATGCCCTGTAGCACAGTTTCTTCCTTAGCCATTAACACAAGGTCATCTGCATATTTCACAGTTTGAATAATTTGCCCTCCTACTTTGAAGTCACCGAGCCCATCCAGAGCTTCCTTGGTAAGGCATTCGCTGTACAAGTTGAACAGAATTGGTGATAAACAGCATCCTTGTCGAACTCCTCTTCCAATCTGCACACTTCCTGTCTCCCCCCTGTCCAGTCGTACTCTAACTTTCTGATCCATGTACAATTTGCTAATCAATCTTCTTTCATGCCAATCGATACCTGTTTCTTTCAGGATCTGCATTAATTTGGTCCAGTTTACCCGGTCAAATGCCTTCTGCCAGTCTATGAAGCAAACACACAGTTCTTCATCTATCTCCAAAGTTCGTTCCGCTATAATTCTCATCATCCCAATTGCATCCCTGGTTCCTTTTCCTCTTCTAAATCCAAACTGATCTTCTCCAAGTACATCCTCTATTTTCCTTTCAATTCTTCTTTTAAGTATCTTTGCTATTATCTTTGCTGTATGTGCAATAAGACTTATTGTGCGATGGTCGCTGCATTTTGTAGCTTTTGTCTTTTTCTTTAAGGCAATCATTGTAACTTCTGTAAAGTCCTTGGGCCACTCTCCACTTTCATATATGGTGTTCATTAGTTTTGTCAGTGTTTTCAAACCACCTTCTCCCAGTAACTTGAGCACATCTCCAGGTACATCATCATCTCCTGTAGCCTTTCCCTTCCTCATTTCCTTGATAGCTTTTTCCACCTCACTTTGTAAAATATATGGTCCTTTCTCGTCTGTATCTACTTCTTCTTCCGGTTCAACTTCTAAGGTTTCTGGCCGATTAGGTCGATCATATAGTTCTGTAATATAATTTTCCCAAATTTTCAGCACTTGCCTCTGATCTACTATTCTATTCCCCTGGGAGTCTTCGATGCCAACATTTTGAATCCCATGATTCTCTTTCCATCCTAGTTCTTTTGTCTTCATGTACATCAAATCATAACGGCCTGTTCTTTGAAATTCCATAATCTCATTACATATCTTCTCAAGATATTCCTTTTTGGTCCTGTCTGTGGCTCCTTTCAATTCATTCCTCAGTCTCCTGTATTTCCTCCTGCCTTCTTCATTGTTTACATTCTTCCATTTCCTTCACTCCTCCATTTTACTCATCATCTCCTGTGTAACCCATGGTTTTCTTGCTATCTTCTCAACTTTACCAACCAATTCACTAATAGTATCTAACATGCATTCTTTTATATTGTTCCATTGCACTTCGGCATTTCCGCTTTCACTTTCAATTGCACTGAGTTTCTCTTCTAGGGTCTCCTGCACGCTTTGTCTTTGAGCATATAACTTCTCCAAATCCCATCTAGGTCTGCGCTTTTGGAATCTTATAATTTTCTTCAACCTGGTTTGAAACTTGGCAACCAGTAAGTTGTGGTCAGAGTCAATATCTGCCCCAGGCAGTGTTTTCACACCCTTCACACTGTTTCTGAATCGATGTTTCATAAGGATGTAGTCCAGCTGATGCTGCCTCCAATCCCCAGGTGCCTTCCATGTGTAAAGTCTTCTCTTTGGCTTCTTGAACCGTAAACTGAAATACTCTGTAATATTAATGGAAATAGTATGCCCATTAACTAGCAGTAGAACCATTACAGCTGCAATCTAACTCAGTGCTGAAGTTGTTATGACCTTGATTCGGGCAGCACACAAGTAATGATGCTAGACTAGGTAATGTCACATTTGTTTAATGGTTCCCACTACTGTATGAATTCTGACTGTTATTAAATGTGCATCAATATATCTCTTTGTCTATCAAGTGGAAATCTGTCAGTATGATTAACATGTATTTTCAGTGTTATACAATAATTATCAATTGCTTTGAAATTCCTTCAGCTTCACTGGTCAAACACATAACTGCGATCATATGCACTTTGATTCTGGGAATGGCTTCAGAACTCAGAAGAATAATTGCCTGTAACAAGTCATCATTATAGTGGCAGATTTTCTGATACATTATGAACTCCAAACTGACTACTGGTGTTACAGCAAAAAGCACATTCTGACTGAAGGACACTAAGTTTAAAAAGTCACTGTTAATTACAACAGTCTTCACTGTCATTTGTATTTCCCAACATGATGAATTTGCTGTAAATGTCTCTTACTTTGTAATGAACATAACTCAAAGCGAACTAAAAGGAAGAAATTATAATAATTTAAGGAATGAAAAAGAAGCTGAAAAGTACTAGAGAAATAACATAATATACTCAGATCTATAGTGGAGTACACCAAGAGCATGAAACATCAGGAGTAATTTTTTTTTACAAATGACAGAATCACCACCAATTAACAAAGCAAATTATATAATTTTTCCTGGAAATTTTGATAACCATTCAATCAAAAGAATATTAAGAACAAATGGACCTACACTGAACTAGAAAGATAAAAGCATAATAGATTTCATATCGTTCAAAGCAATGAAAATTACAGATATGTGCTTTTGTTACTGCTAAATACAAACCTATACGGTTCAATCAATAACTTATTACATAATGACAAATAGGACATTATTTCCATTGATGAAAGATGCAGTGATATACAGATGTGACCATTACTGTTAATTTTACATTGTTTAAAAGACAGATTCTATGTTATATGTATAAATTTATCATACTGTGTTTACAATTTCATATGTTAATTTTTATAACTTGCTCCTTAATTTATTATTCAGTGGCTACTAATTTTTTCTACAGATATCTCTATGCTTCCTTGGAACACAAGCTTACTATAAGATGTGTAGATGACAAGAAAATGTAGCATTATAGTACACAGCAGAGTCTGCAGTACAAGTTCACTCCTAAACTTTGATTCAAGTGTCCATGTTGCAGGAGGACATCAAGTAAGAAACTGCATACTGGGTTGATGCACCGTACAGCTATGGAAACTAAGAAAGTTAGGTATGAAACCACAACATGACTAGGGCTGTATACTGAAAGCATGTCAACCCCAGCAACCTGACAGTGAATCTTAAATTTCCATGAAAGAGGTGAAAATCCTTTAAATATGGAAGAAATGAATAAGCACTGATATAAGTAGAGCGCCTCACTAATTCAAAATTCATGATAATTCAGTTTTTCCTTTTGCGCATTATGACACTGATGATCACATTGCCACGATCAGCAAGATGTAGTAAATGAACAGTATAAAAGAGGAACACAAATCAAAATAAGTTCACTTCTTAACATGGTCTTAATAGCACTAAGTATGTACACTACCTAATTTCTTTTAAGACTGACATCAAAACTTAAATTTTATGACAAGTAAGTTTATTTTATGATATGCAATCTAAGTTTCAAGATAAAGTTGTACTGTCTAAAAAAGGCAAGTGAAGTCCATTTCATAACTTCCTTGAACATATTTTCAGTAGCACTTCTGTAATTCGGACTTATAATAATTTGGAAAATGGTTAGCCCTCAATTAGTCCAAATTAGTGAGGTCTTATTGCAGTTATAAAAACTAATAACAACTACTTATATCTCAATATTTACCTATGTTAACATTTCCTTTGAAACCAGTTTTGTTTACATAATAGTCTGAGTGAAACACAACTTTCATCAGGTTTGTGGACTCAATTAACTCATAAGTTGCATTTGGCAGACAGAGTGTCTTCATGAGCCTCCAGTCAGGCAACCCTCGTCGACCTGCCAACATAAAAAAGAAAGTGTTTACATTAGTCATTCCGTAGAATACGTGTGAAATATAAGAACTATAGTCCATTCGCGGAGACGAGAGTCCTCGTAAACAAATGCACGCGGTACCTCCTTCACTCTTTGAATGAAATCATGCAGTGATCACGTGATGCGTGTACCCTTGCAGGGGCGTCCAAAGTTCACTCTTCAGTCTGAATGCAGGTTAACGTGCGTCCGAATGCAGTGAGTACACTGAAGTAACTGCGCGCTTTGTCCACTCCTTGCTGTCCGCTGTGGCGACACGGGGCTTGCTTTGTTTACACTGACTGTCTCGTCTCCACGAATGGACTGTAGTAAAAATTATTGATAACGAATCTGTATAAAACCAAGATAATGTACTTAAAAGAATGGGAGGCTGATACTCTTAGAAATTGGTTCCTTCAGACCATACATGCTTCTGCCATCATTCTTGCCAGTGCTCATCACTTCTGATGGGTATCTATCTCTATTTAAAATTACATAAGTAGTATTATATTCCAGCACCTAGCTGCATTGATGTATCACTCATTCAATCATTTAAGTCTTGAATGCAACATAAACTGTTCACAGTCAGACTTGTAATAAGAGTCCCTGTAAAGCACTGGACATGCCTCTTACCTTTGTACACCTGCACATAGTCGAGGTAGCAGGATGAAGACTGCTCTAGGTCCATGTCATGGAAAACTAAGCTCAGGTGATAACCTGGTGGGGTTTCAAAGATCCACTCACAGTTCAGCATGGGAGCATAGCCCTCAGGATACCCTGGGCTGGTGAATGTGACTTTCTCACTAGAGTGGTTCCTGCCTATCTGCAGGCTTACCAAACCTCCACATCCTGGAACTGATAAATTCCAAAATACTATCACAGTCACAAAAAATAATGCAAATTTATAACAGTTTGTCAATGATAAACCTGATACATTAAATTCACTTGTGATGGCTTCTAATACTATATAATTATGAAATCTTCACTGCATAATATATTGCATGATATTAACTCTAGCTTCCAAAGCATTCAATGCCTATGTGAACACAGAGCTTATGAGAGCAACTGAACACCTTCTTTATATGAAGTTTTTCAAAAGAAATTATTTTTTGGGTTATAATTAATATATATATTAATGTCATGAAGCATGAAGCATATAATCCAGCTACCTGAATGTTCTGAAAGAAGACAGTCTATTATTTGCAACAGTGTCATCAAACTGTGTCTACCAGTTTCTTTGTTTGCCTCCTGACACAGCTATGAGCATCAATTAAATGATTACCTTACTTTTCAAGAAACTGGATATGAACAGCCTAGTACTGAAGTTTCTCCACATGTGTACTTTCTAACTTCATATTACAAATAACAGCAACATAGAAAATGTACACTGATATGTTAGAACCAATGGTGAATACTTCTTTACAAGAAAGGTCATGTGTATACAGTTACCTGTATTGAGTATGATAACCACCAATGAAGGTACAAATGTCCATGTTATAGACAGGTTAATAAATATGCAGGTTTTACTGATGTACCATGGCTATTGCTGAGAAACTATACAGTGTGAAGCTCTCCACTACTCACCTGTAGGTGGTGGTACAGTCACACTGGTAATCTGCCTGTCCACCTGCAGCCACTCCAATAGGAATTTTGAGCCATGATGGACAGGAACTGACTCAAACAAAATGTAAACAATGTTAGAACTTGATGTGAATGGGTCTGGTAAATCACCTCTACATCCTTTGAAGAGTAATGGTGCAGTCTGATCAAACCCGTCATAGACCTGCAACATACCATAATTTAACTGCAGCTCTTACAGATACAAGTGAAAGGTTTGAGAATGACTTCAAGCTGTAAGTCACTAAAACTGTGTATATAATACAGATGCAAGCAAAATTTAAATTCTATTCTGAAAGAGAGACTGTTTCCAAAATGTAATTACACACAGCTACCTGCACCGTTCTCAGACTGCACAACTTTTCTAATTTTCACAGATACACACTCACATCAGAAACCTTTGACAGTATTTGCAATAATTCTGTACAATAAGCAGCATAAGCCAAGTAGCATAAGCTACTTGGTACAGGAATAGAAATAGGTTGGACAGTGCACACTTAATGGGCTATGTGGTTATGTTAGTCATTTCTTGAAATCAAAGAGTCAATGCAAAAATTTCTGTAGCAAGAGATTCAGAAAACACAAAATATTCAATCACGTTCTTATGTCAAATGATCTTTAAAGTCAGTAACATTTATTTATATGTAATTTATTTAATGACTCTGGCAGAAACTGAACTGAGATCAATCACACATACTAACGTTCTCATACTATAAGTGCCATGTATACAATTTTATCACAATTTGAGTACACAGGTTCAATTAGGCCCTTGAAAATTAGTAGTTATATTGTTTGCACTTGGGACGGAGTTGGTATCATTTATCCTGAAATTTAGTATTTGAATATTTTACAAATCACAAGATTCACACACACTTTTTGGAGGGGGTTACAGAGGTACGTCAATTATGCCAGTAAATACGTGTATGATATTTCTTCTGATAATCTGAATAACACTTATGGCTGCAGAGTATATCACAAAATAGCCATATCAATGAGATGAGAACAACATTGCAATTCTTAATTCTTCACTATTGCTGAACACAAACTATATAAAAGTGTACAGTGTAGTGTGCACTTGGAACATATGAAAACCAAGACCTTAAAATTGCTTAACCTTTAACATCCAAAGTACCCTGATCGGGCCAGTGATGAGTATGGTCATCATGGCCAAAGTACCCCAATTTGGCCAGTCAGGCATTTAAACTCCGCTGCTGGAAGCGCGCGCACACACCACTACTAGAAATGCATGCACAGTCCTAAATATTTATTTTTAAATGCAGTAATTACCAGACAGACTTGAGTAAAACCATAATAGAGGAATTACAATGATATCTAAGTGAACAACAACAAAAAAGAGTATACATATGAGTTATGCCCAAACTCATCCATGAGCCAGTACTTTTATTGCAGATTCTGCAGATTAATATGTTTAAAATATATAGTAAAATTCGATGTACATACCTTTTTTGTTGCTATCTGCTTGATGTCTATATAGGCTGACATGAAACTACAGTATTTGATTTCACTATGAACACACAGAAAACAGATCACACTCTGTATCTCAGCCTTGATGCAACTGTCTGTTCATGACCATAGAAAAGGCAATAATCTCTTGCAGCTACAATGGAAGGTCTTAGCACTGAAGAAGGGACCCCTCTAGCTTTTCCTTGAATAGCCATGCTTTCATTCTTCTGTCCTTCAGTCAAAATATTCGAAAATCTGAAGAGTGTAACAAAGATCTAAAATTTGCCAGCAGAGAATCAAATGATTTTATTGCTTCCATCTGTTTTTGACACCAGGGACTGCTAAAGTATGTCAAGTGTTACAAGCAGGAATTAATTTATAATGCAGAACAACTATATTAAGAACAGGGAAACCATTTTTATAGTACGCATCAAAAATAAAAAGGTCAGATCTTCCATTATAATATGCGATGCTATGTTCTTTGCTGATACAAACAAAGTTAATTCCATCCATTTATCATAAAAATTTTGTTAGATATAGCATTTTTAAACACAATGCTTAAAATTGTTTAAGCGCCCTAACATGAATGGACATTAAAACACAGGGTACCAACGGACATTTAAAAGCGCACCAGCAGCGGGCATTTAAATAAACTCCAGCCAGTTCAAGCTTACCATTATTTTGAAATTCTGGCATTTAAAAGTTAAATTTAAACTTCCAGGACGAAAGCCCATCACTTAGTAGCTATGCTCTTAAACAAAAGGTTGTGAACAGAAACAAAGAAGTGCATTTCATTACTCACAGCAACAGAGGCGATGCAATTTGAAAAGAAAAACTCAATGAAGAATTCCTTGAAAGTTATAGCAATTGCTTGGCCAATATCCACCATGATCCTCCAGGAGAATGAACCATAACGCCTGTAAGAGCTGGGATAGAGTGGTGATGCCACCTGTCCTGCTGGACCACTGAGGTCATTGCCATGCACTGTAAACATAAACCCAAAATTCAGTCAAAAGCAAGCCAAACACAAATAATCTCTGAGCCCTCATAATGCATCAAACAGAATACCAGGCTTAAGGTGGCTTCTGCTTAAATTAAACAAGGATCATTGATTAGAGACAAAAAGTGTGTTTATAAAATAAAACAACACACTAAACATACTGGTGGAGGTCAATGTTGTCTGGTCTCATAGGAATTCTGCTTATCTCTGGTACTACTGACTGTTTCAGACTCTCAGACAAGTTGTATGTGATTAACAAGAATATGGTAGAAGAAAAGATGTCTGTCTAATGAAGATATGCTGGTTTTCACCAAATTCGCTAATACTCATGTACTCTACTACATGGTGCCCCAGACATTCACAGATATTTAAATGTTTCAGGGATGAAACATACACTGTCTGCCTTAGGCTACAGATTACAGTATAAAATAGAAAGTAAAACATTGTACATGAAATAATTTTTATAATATCATAGTTATAAAACTTCTAAAAAACAGTTCATATTACCTAAAAGAACAAATAATATGTATTATTTTTCATGCTGTTTTGTAACTTTTACCTGAAGGACATGGATATCACAGCCACATCCCTGCACAGTGAGAAATAATGGAGATGCAAATTTAATCACAATAACTTTCCACAAGACCTTTCACTTATGGAGGGTCATTTGAGACAAACTGGCCTGCAATTATGGAGAATAATGTCAACACTCACACATGCTATAATCAGCTATGAATCCGCGTGCAGTGCCTGTTCCACTGCTCTGGAACTTGATCCACATGTTATGAGCTGCAGTGATATTGCTGGGTATGTCACTCCCACAGTATATACCAATCAATGATCCTACTGCACTATCTTTACGCAGTTCTACATAGTCTTCATTGCAGAAATCACTGGTTTCCAGTTCAAACAGACTGAAGCTTATCAGCACGCGATTACCTGTGGATACAGAAACACAGAATCTGTACTTAGTTCTTTATAAAGACACTATCATATGAACAGTTCAGATTTTAAGCACTTCACAACCTACATACATCTTTGTTCTGCTTGTAGTTTGGAGTCAATAAATGTATCTTTTCTTTTTAACACACAACTTCTGTATCCAAACAGATTTTAAATTACTTTAATTTTGTGAAATGTTATTAACATTTAATATAAGAAACTGTATACATAGCGGCAGATCTGAACGTCCACTTAGAAAAAATCAATGTGACAAAAATTGATGCTCTGTAACAGATTTTGATGAAACATTTTACAAGAAAATGATAATCTTCGGCATATCTTAGATCAAGGTTTTAAATTTGGACCATATTTCATTTATGCTGATGGAACTCCACCCTTAAATTTTAAATGAAAACAAAGAATAAAATCTGATCATGGTTCATAACACTCAGGATTACTGAGAGTGGTTAGCCCTTTGTAACAAACCCAAAAGAGTAGGTGCCTCCCACCATTTCACCTGCAGATGGAAACAGATCTAGTTTCCAAAATGTAATGTTCTTTAGAATACCAGACAATGGATGAAGTCCAAAAACACTGCAATTCTAAGTATTAACCAAGAGAATAGGTTGGACAAATGATGACAATCAGCAAACATGGCACACTATTTTTCTCTTCACACTATTCCCAGACATGCTGTGCAGCCCAACCATTAGTTGCCAGAGGCTTTCTCCCATGGGGATGAAGCCAGCTGAGATATGCAGCTGATCATTCAGTTCCATCTAGTGAAATATCTGTACTGTAATATTTACAGTTGCTTGGAGCAGTTACTCTCGCCATTAGCGGGTAAATTCTCTGTTCAGCTGTTACTGCACTGTAACACTTCTACTCAGCCTCAGCAATACCCTTTTCTTGCATTTTCTCCTTGCACTGTAATCAGTTCAATTGTCTGCACTGCATTACACACACCTTTTCTCATCTACTCCAACTAAACTGCCAAGGTTTCATATCTGCTTCTATATGCATGTCTGCTCTATGCTGCAATGATTTAACCATAGCTGTCCTCTTGTGGGACTTGAAACTCCTGTTATATAGACATCACAATTCTGAGAACATACTCATGCCTTTGGCACTCTCTGGAATCGTAACAAAGAGTTGGAGAGGGGAGAGACTTGATAGTTTTGATCGAAAGGGAGATGCAGGCAGGTAAGGTAACACCCCTCTTCCCTGTTCCTCAGCTCTCATGTCAATATTCAGACTCCCATAACTTTGTACCAAATTTAACTGCGTTTCTTTTCCGATTTTATTTCAAAATTACCTGCTGACAATGTCACATATTTATATTTATATAATTCATTAACCAGGACCTCCTTACAGTCACATGATAAATCACAGTCCAAGTTATTTAAGTGTGCTACCTCTGCTGTGGATCATTACCTTTGAGCTTATTGGGCATATCCCTTTAAAATTCATTACTTTAGAGCTTCTTCTGTATAATTTTAAGCTATATATACTTATTACTTGATCTTATTACTGAAGAGTATTAATAAATCACTTGTGAAAGTTTTATAACAGGAATTCATATCAGGAAGGCTTGTCTGCCTGGGAATGGAAAATGACCCAACCATCGAAAGCTTCTACACGACATTTAACCCTTTGATGTTGTCATTTAAATTCTGCGGCCGCGGCTCCTGCGGTAATATATTCAGCCGGCCATTTAAATTTTGCTCGAAAATTATTTATTCATCATTGTTCTTAAATTCTATGAGATAGGAACATGAAACTTTCACTAAAATGATCTTAAATTGTGGTTTTATAACCTTACCTTATAATATGGGCGCCCT